CCCCAAAACCCCAAAACCCCAAAACCCCAAAACCCCAGAAGGATGATCAAGATTTGAATTATTCTTAAATTATATTAATTTCTTCTTTTGAGAGCAAATGTGGGTTTTGATGCCATCTTTCCAATCATCGGCTTGCTTTTTTGCCCCATGCTAGGTTTGGAAACCTGGCTAATATGACTATCTACACTTTGATTGTGATGAATAGATTGGTTTTCTGTGTTTTGAGAATTATTTAACATCTCGCTCATTCTTTTGTTAGCTACTTTTGAATAATGTTCCTTGTCTCCTGGCATAGCTATAGGTTTTGAAGTTTGTCTATCAATATCAAGCTCGCTAGTATCTATAAATAAAACTATATACATTACCTAGATCCTTTTTATCAGTGTGTTCCATCGTTCTATCAAAATCATTCTCATATTCTTCAAAACTGTCTTCTCCTCCATTAAAATCTACCCCTTTATTGATACCTTGAGGTGGGGGATCATTGAACTCTCCATCTTCAACTTCATATTCTTGTTTTATCGCTTCTTGAAGACCTGCTCTTTTCGAAGAATTTGGTCTGAAATTCTGCTCCTTTTCTTTTGCAGCCTTCCTTGAAGTTTTAGTAACAGACCTTGCACTCTTCTTTCTTTCCTTTCTGCTATTATCTGTAGCTTTATGCACGTAAGTGCTTTGGATGGTCCTTTTCAACTCTTTGATCTTCAGATTGATCATTCTATACTCATTTTCTTTCTCCTTATGTTTGAGTTCCATCTGGTTGCTTTCATGTTTTATCCTAATAACTCTGTCTTCTTGAAGTTGAATCCTTTTTCTCCATTGTTTATCTAAAGAATAACACTGCTTGGCATACCAATATCTTTCTTCTGTGCTTCAAGTTTGTCAATATTGCCTTCAACTCTTACGATATCCTCTTCTGTAACGGCTTGTTTGACTCCGGTTTCAGCTTCAATTCTTTTATTTTTCCTGAATGATGTCTTTGATCCTCCTACAGCGGTCCCTCATTATCTCAAATTCTTCATGGCGGTCAAGAAGCATTTTATCTTCTTCAGTGAATCTCTTCTTTAGCTCTCTGAGCTTGTCTTTGGATTTATCGAAGGTGGAGTTTACCTGTGAGGCTTTGCCATCAGCATCTTCGATCTTTTCTGCCTCACGAATGAATTTCTTTTGCTCCCTGATTACTTTGTTACGGTCTTTAAGGACTAGTTTTTGCTCACTTAGGATCTTCTCCTGTTCTCTGATCTTGTTCTCATTATCTGCAAGGGAATTCACTGTATTGGAGTTATCTACAATCTTGTTCATATTTTGAATATCATTCTTGATCAGCTTCATTTTCTTGAACATCCCATCTAGCTTGGCTTTCTTTGAGTTTATAGCAGAGTTTGGTCGATCCAGCTGTTGGTCTACTTTCTTCACCTTACGCAAGAGGACCATTCTTTGATCCATCTGCTCTGTGAACTCAGAAATTTGGGATAACAAATGAGCATTTTCACTATACAGCTCTTCAAGGTCTTCATCAGCTCCTAGAACTGATGAATTAGCCATGGATTGTTTCCTAAATTTAGGCTTTTTAGGAGCTTCTTCTGTATTCTTATTGAACCGGGTTCCTTCATCAGACTGGTCGTCAGCTGGTTCAGGGACAAAGACATCTTTTTCAGCTATGTCAGATTCATAATCTGATTTTTCACTAGGTGCTTGTGGCTTCTTCTTTCTTATCCTTTCTTTCTGGTTTGTATCAAGTCTCAAATTCTTATTCTCAGGGATTGGGTCTGCATTAGGACCTGTTCTGTCAGTAATAGGCTTATCCTTTGATTCAATGATTTCAGCCTTCGATTTTGTGATGGAAGACATCTTCTTAATTGGCTTAGGGAAAGAGTTCTTCAAAGACTCCTTCTTCTTTGGAGGAGTATCTTGTTTAGAGACAAGAGTAGGCTCCTTTTTTTGTATAGGTGTGACTTCTTTCTTTTTAAGGGGCGTTTTTTGTTTCTGCTGAGGATCTGATACCATATTTAGGTTACTTAGGTCATCTTCATAGTCCCCAAAGTCACTAGAGTTATCTAATTTATCATTCAACTTCTTCATTCCATTGATATCTATTCCGCTAGTTCTCTCAGGTCTTACTTTCTTTTCAATATCTTTGCTAAAGCCTGGGCTTGGAAATATATTGTGAGGGTCTTGAGCCTTAGGAAGATTGTTTTGAGGCTTCTTAGCTCCATTTTTAGGTGAGTCTTCATCATCAAAATCAAGATCATAATCATCATTCTTTTTGTTGCTTTTATTATTTGCTATTGGGAATTTTGAAACAGGAGATTTATTCATTGATCCTTGGGGTTTAATATCTGGAGCTTTCTTTTTATTATTAATATCCTCTAGCCCAAAATCATCTCCTTCATCGCTGTCGTCATCAAATCCAAATTTCCCAGAAGCCTTTGGAAATGCTGGAGGCTTATTCTTAGCTGGTGGGAGACCTTTCGTACTTTCTCTTACACTTACAAACTTATCTGGCTTATCCTTATGATTACTGAGTCTAGATCCATTGTTATTCACTGGGGGAAGGAAGACATCTTCTGCTTGCAAATCGCCAATGTCATCTTCAAAGTCAAAATCGTCCATCATTTCTTTAAATTTTAAATACTATAACTTCTCAACACTAATTATCCCACTTGGGGTTTTGGGGTTTTGGGGTTTTGGGGTTTTGGGG